GAATTAGGGTCATTAGAGCAAAAAGATTCAAAAAGGAGCGAATTTGGAGCGAAAAGGACCAAAATGTGGAGATTTTAACTAGGGCGCCGACGGCGCCCTCGACACCGCCGATGACAAGTTTTTCCCAAGGCTACAGGATAAAATTCTCCAGAATTCTACCGATGGCGAGCTCGGTGGTTCTGCCTACTCAAGCTTTGGATAATGCAAAATTTTGAAGGGATGCTTACACAACTCTTGGGAAAGCTCATCCACAACTTTAAAAGACTATTTTTGCCAAAAATTGGAAGAAGCTGGAAGAGGGGAGACTTAAAATTGAAGTGTAACCAAGTGTAGAGAGTCTAATTTTTAGTAGAGAGTGTAATTTTTAAGGAATTCTTCGAGAGATTGTAAGGGTGGAGGGAAAGTGAGAGATTTCTTCCTCCTTGCTGTTTCAAAGAGGAATTATGTGTGCTGTAAAGAAAGGAAGAGATTCAGAGGAACTTCGAGTAGTGTTCTTGGGGAGAAATTAGAGATAAATTATTTACTTTTTCTAGTTTGTATGCCTTTGATTTTCTATATGAATTCTGAGTTTTGTTGTGTTTTCCCTATGAGATATGAGTTGTTTTCTCTGTCTTTTTCCTTGTCTCGAGATTTGTGAAATGGTGATTTGAATTGGTGAAGCCATGAAAATGTCTAAGAAATTGTGATGATCTTTTCACTTTAATCTTAATTTAATTTCAATCTGACCAATTGATTTGTTAAAATATGTTGAGTTTTACAACTAAAGTTAAGATTACATCCAAGATTCAGGGAGGTTAAACCCTTGGAAGTTGGGTACAAATAAATAGGGAAATAGTATTATCGGGCGTAGAATTGGAGATTTTAGAGTGACAGACTAAAATCCCCAATTCAATCCTATCATTTGGGTGCTGAATTGTAGATGTTAGCCCTCAGGTAAGGGGAATGTAGGAGCTCCAAAAAGCTCCAAAATGAGAGTCGATATCCTCCCAGCCTAGCCGTAGATTTAGTATACAAGCGTAGGATTAGTCAATGTTCTATATGTCTCAAAGAAAGGGTAAAGAATAGGTATGCTCCTATTTGACACAATATAATTTGAACTAATTAACTTTATCCATTCATTATAATTTTTTGACAAGGAGAATGATGCTTTCTTATATTGAATATCACATTTAA